CTGAACAAAATGCTAATGATTTAAATTTGAACACACCTATGCTTTTGACCAAATGTCTGGATGATTTAAAACTTTTTTTTTCGGAACGATAGAGGTACTATTATAAATCAAAAGCGCACAAAGTGCGAATAAAAATACAAAGCTCCCAACGGGAGAATAAAATGGGAGGACAGGTCAGAAGCCCGCCTAGAATCCCGCTAGCAACGCTAGAATAAAACTCAAACTAAATAGACCAACTACTCGACCACGACCCCAAAAGGGTAATAAAAACACAAAAAAACACAAACAACACAACACAAAGACCCCAACAGGGTAATACCCGAGTGTCGGACCCCAACAGGGTAATAAGGTGACACTCGAGAGGATGATTTAAAATTGAGCACATCAAAAATTATTTAAATTTGAACACACTGGAAATTTTATGTACTTTTTATTTATAAATATATTGAAAGTGGTATTTAATGGCTGTTATATAAACTATTTTAATATATTTGCAATGAATAAAAGTTTGAATGAATAATTTGTAATGTTATTCATTATGTTGGTGACTTATGAGAACATTATAAAAGTAACTCATCATAGCATTAAGAATATATTATAGTTATATTATCAAATCATAAAAGATATTAAATCCATATTTTCAAACATAAATAATTCATATAATTTTATAACAATTCTAATACACTATTTAACAGTATTCCTTTATATTAAATAATAAAATAATAATTAAATATTACATGGTGAATAAGAATAAGTAAAACTGTTACTTTCTCTTAGATCAAAGGATAATTTTATATGCTAAAATTAAATTTTTATTAGTATAAATATTTTAGTGAGATAAATATTAATTATTTTACAAGTTAGCCCTAAAATACATATATTTAATGTTCTGGCTAAAAAACAACGCAAATTAAAAGATGTGGAAAAAAGCTTATAACCCTATTGTTTTTTAGACTTAATGTTGATTAAAAGAGGTAGAAAATAGATAATATCCTTTTACATTTTAGACTTAAACAAAAAAAACTGTTAAAATAACTATTTAATATTTTTGTCTCGTGCATCGCACGGAGTACCTACTAGTTAATTCTTAAAACAATCTTTCCATGTTTCTGAATGTATTTTATTTTTTGATTTTTTAATACAACCACTTACGAAAACCAAGAACGATCGATTTTAAATTAATAATCTAATTTCATGTTTTTTTATTCTTATTATTTGTACAATATTTCGTACTAATGCTAAACTAGTACAACACCCGTGTATTACACGGGTGCTTTCTAATTTTTTTCTTAAAATTTAAAATTAAATAAATAGTTTGAAAATTTAAATACCTTTTATAAGAATATATATTATTATATATTTATTATGATACTTTTTATTTGTGCGACTTACTTGTGTTATATTATACTAATTTTTTAACTTACAATATATAACTACATTAAATATAAATTATATCAATTGAGAAATAATTTTATTTTTCTAATGAATTTTAATAAATATTATTATTTTTTATTATTATAAAGATAAATATAATTTATTTATTTTATATATACAATATGGATGTCAAATCGAAGATCATCAAAAGATGATTAATTTAATATATTATATATGTAAAACCGATAAGAAATATAAAAGTTATCTACTTTTAAAATACAATTATATTTCAATAGCTTATTGAAGGAAGCAAATCAAAATTTAGGGATATATTAGTCACTTAATGCCTCATTATGTAGAATTACAAAGAAATCCTCCCTATATATAATTCCCGAATGCGCTGAGCCTACGTGGCTGCTTCTGGTGCTTCGGAATCCTATTTGGCGAAGAATCATGCTTCGTAATTAGGTTTGGATAAATAATATTGATATATTAATAATTAATAATCTAGGTTCGGGTATTCCATAAATATTATTTAGCTAACTTAGGTATTTTAATATCACTTTTACTAATATAACCATTTAATTTTTTATAATTTTACATAGTGAGGCACTAAGTGACTAATATATCCCTAAATTTTGATTTGTTTCCTTCAATAAGCTATTGAATTATAAATGTAATTTGAAAGTTAATAACTTTTGTATTTTTTATCGGTTTTACATATATAATATATCAAATTAATTATCTTTTGATGATCTTTGATTTGACATCCATATTGTATATATGAAATAAATAAATTATATTTATCTTTATAATAATAAAAAATAATAATATTTATTAAAATTCATTAGAAAAATAAAATTATTTCTCAATTGATATATTTATATGTAATGTAGTTATATGTTGTAAGTTAAAAAAAATAGTATCATATAACACAAGTAAGTTGCACAAATAAAAAGTGTCATAATAAATATATAATAATATATATATTCTTGTAAAAGGTATTTAAATATTCAAACTCCTTTTTCTCATTAATTTTAGATATTAAGAAAAAATTAGCAAGCACCCGTGTAATACACGGGCGTTGTACTAGTAAAGGGTTATATCAGGAAAAGTGATATTAAAATACCTAAGTTAGCTAAATAATATTTATGGAATACCCGAAC